GCTTCATCATCAGACAACAAGCGGGATTATTATCATCTGAATCAACAAATTAATTAACAGAGAATGTAGAATTCTTGAAAAATAAATGTAGAAAATTTGTATAGTGGCATGATAACTCACTTTGTGGTGCTGTTTTTTGTCAATCCACTTGTCCAAACTATCCATAGGCATCGATATGAATATTTTTGCAGGACCATATCAGATGATTATTGCTTACTATGTTTACATGGATTATCTCTTCGACTAGTGAGACACGTTTTCAGCTCACGACAAGCTAAAAGAACAATCCCGAGTCCCGATCATCATCTAACGATACCAAACCATTCTAACACCATTTTCCTTAACGATTGCACGGCCTTCGTGTAATGATTATTACACCATTTCCCTCTTTTCTTGAAGAAGAGGTCTCCATATAACTTTATTTCGAACACGTTGCTTGCATGTCCGTTTATCGTGTTTTCCCACTTGAAGACCTAATTACTTCCCATTCCATTTAAAAATAATTCTCAATTTCCACAAGCTGCACGTANAAAAAAAAAAAAGAAAAAAAAAAAGTTCGTCCACGCTTCTTTATTTGTCCTGTTTTCGGCATACGCAAGAAAACCATTAAGTTCAAAACAATTTCATCACCCAAAAATCCAGACTTTAACAGCGTATAAGCAAGAACCGCTTTCCCTCAATACACATCCATGCCTTCAACACACACCTACAAGTATGGCTATTCAGATGAATATTCAAAAAAAAAAGTGTGAAATACAATTCAATTGCTTTTATAGGAGCCCCATCTGAGAAATAAGCACCAAGGGTGAAAAATACTTCTCTGGACCATTTCATCGAACACGTAGTGGGCTTCCAACAATAACTCTCATTTCCCGTACATTGGCACGACTCAGAAAATCCAAATCACAGTTACTGTACTATGTGGGTTTCAATTTATTTGCGGGGAGATGATGAGATTTGAGGGGCGCAACTTTATCAAAAGGCTGGTGCGAGAGGCTGAAAAAAAGCTAGTTTATCAGCGAGAGGTAAAAGGGATGATTTAAGGTGGTGGTTTTTTAAGAGGTTTTGAGAATTTCGAACTTTTAGGGTTTGAACGGAGATTTTGGCGGAGCTCGAAGATTGTGCGTCGGATCCCCTGCTTTCTGCATTGGCAGGAAGACGAATATAGGTTGCGGTAGTATGATCAAGGTGGCTTGATATTCATAAAAGATCAACAATTCCGTTGTTGTCCAGTGGTTAGGATATCTGGCTTTCACCCAGGAGACCCGGGTTCAATTCCCGGCAACGGAAATTTTTTATTTTTTTTTTCAACTAATTTCTCAATTTACATTCCCATTGAACACAATAATGACATTGATTTTACTTTCAAATTTCACTTTTCCTCCTATGTGCTATTAATGGAGTGAGTTGACAAAATATCAACTTTTGGTGAAATTTTTAGTTATAAGCTGTACACATCTCATTTGCATTTATATTCAATGACCAACCAACTTTGAAAGTATACACTGATTAAAGTAGGTTAAATCAATTTGATTTATATATTACAACTATACCGAACAGAAAAGTTCTTCGATAATTTTCATGTTATTTCTTGAACAGGAAAAGTAAAGTACAGTATGTTTTGTTACAACTAGGTCCTCTCAGTAAAAAATTGAATGTTATTTATAGAAATAATATTATGAACATGTGTGCATGAGAATTTTTTGAAACTATCTGTTTTGAGAGAACCCCTAAATTCTTTTCCCCAAATCCCTAATCCGCACAGAATCCATCCATCATTGCCGCTGCCTCCTCTCCACAGGGCTCTCTGTGCGGTTTGGTTTCGGCCACCGCTGGCCGCAGTGCTCGCCTCTCTTGAAGCTGAAGACCCACTCGGTGTAGGGCTCGCCAAATCCAAGGCTCCTATGCCTGCCTCTGGTCTCAGCTCTAGAGGAGGTTGGTCTGGGAGAAGATTTTGGTCGTCTGGTGCGATTCAAGGTAACCGTGGCTACACAGGAGTTTCTGGAGCAGTGCTTGAGCCGGAGCGCTATCCGAGTGGGCGGTTGTCTCTAGGTGTCGGTCCGCGGTTTGTTGCGGATTGTCTCATCGTGGGGAGGAGGGTGTTATTCTACTTATTTGTGTTTTATGTTGTTATGTTGGTGTTTGTTTTTGTGTTGTGGTGTTTTTCTAATTTTGCTTTTATTCTCCTTGAAGAAGTTGAATTATCTCTCGTGGGATTTGTTTAGTTTAGTTTGTTTAGTTGTATGTCTTGTGAGTGCTTTGTGGGTGAGTTAGAGTAGTCTCTAGACGCCTGTCGTGGGATAGTCTCTCTAGATTCAGCTAGATGACTACTTGACTTATTCTAGTTGTATTTATGTGTTTGTTTTATCTATAAAATTTATCATTTTTTTTATTAAAAAAAACATATGTGCATGGAAAACATGTTATCCGCATGACACGTGCCCCGACAAATGGTCTAGTAATTGTCTTGTCAATAATATTGGAACAAGTAGAATCAATTTAAGTGGATAAATTTGCTATTTGGCGTTTGAGTTCTTCTAAGCAATTTGTGCGACGAAATGTCTCGTCGACATAGTTTCTCAACCTGGACCGGCCTGCGCGGGTCTACCCAAAACTCGATCGATCCGGAGCTGAAACTGAACTGGGCAAGTACTCAGATTGAGCAGCAACAAAACCAGTCAAAACTTGATCAAACCTGTGCATCGACCTGGTCGGGTCAACTTTATTAATTTTTTTTTTAAGATAACAACAGTATATATATGTATATATATTTATATGGTAAATATTTATTACGACATACAATATTATTAAAATTGATGTACAAAAGTTATATACAAAACGTTTTAATTTTGTTACTTTTATGTATATTTAGGACTCATTTGTTTTATATGATATGATATGATTATTTTTATTTGGGTTGGCAAGATTATAAATAAAACTACTTTGTTCTCAATGACTACTCTAAGATAGAATTTAGTAATTTGTCAAGACAATAAAATAAAACTTAATTTACCAAATTATCTATGAACCAAGATACAACCTTACAAAATCAATTACATGAGAATCAAGAACATTCCTTCAAATCTTCATCTTTCTCGTAGAACGAAAATTCTTTCTAGTTTCTTACAAAGCAAAAATGATCTGAAGGCCCTAGTTATGACAACAATATATCAAAATAACACCACTACAAAATACCAAGTAACAAATTACTTACTAAATGGTAGTACCAAACTAGGTGTTCTATTCAAAAATCACTCAACACAATACATATCAATTCAAAGCCAGGAAAAGCAGAAAAAGGACATAAAATTTGGGAAAGCCCAAACAAGACACAATCAACCTCCTCCATCTTGTACCCTCGACATCGGCGTTTGCTTCCTCCAACACATGCATGTCCACATCAGCATCTCCAGTGTCCTCGTCCACATCGAAAATTAGAGTTAATTTGGGTGTAGTTGGTTGTTGTAGTGGAACCCTGGTTCCACATCAGCATCTCCAATGCTTTAATGTTGTACTAGAATAAATTTTGACAAATGTTAATAAATTAAATGGATTGTGTACCATGTAATAAAAATGTTAAGTCTACAACTATGAAATTAAAATATTCTCTCCAGTGCACAATATAGTCTAAATACAAAATTATATACTTATCATATATTAAAAATTTTAAAAATAAAATATAAAATTAACTAAATAATTAGATAACTTATAATTGCTAAGAATATTTCTCTCTCTTTTTTTCATTGGTTAACTAGAATGTGGAAGAATCACATTCTCTTCTACATTGTAAACATTGATTAAATCCACATCATTACAACATTTGTGATCACATTCTACATTAAAGATGAAAAAATAGTGAATTTATTAAATGTGTTGATGTGGAATGTAATTTACCACAACAACATTTGACCATTGAAGATGCTCTTAGGGCTAATAGACCATGGTGTAATTTCCTGTACAAGAAGAGTATCTTGGGCGAAAAAAATACTTTTCGAGGATGATTTCGTCATTTCCCTAAGTGTGTACTGTAGGGATGCAAAATGTCACACTCCCAACCTGAGATTGAACAATTTGGAGTATCCAAGACTAAGACCATTTTCATCCCGGGTCAAATCTAGTCTTGAGGGTGCAAATCATAGCTACCAAACACCAGACAAATGCAGTACTGTACCTTTAAATTTATCATATCATGGCTAGCAAATGAGGTGTTATATGACAACAATACTATACACACATTTATAACTTTAAAATAATTATTTGGTTTAACAATTGATTTGGTGAGCTAACGGTTAAACCGGTGATTTGAAGCCCTGTCCGAGTCGATTTTCAGCCGCGTTTAAAGACTATGATTAATTGTGTCTTGTCGTCGTTTATGCAAGTATTGCTGATTCAACTTAGGATACACGTTTTGTCTAGTATATCACCTTTCTCGTATAAGATCAAATTAATACAAAATGATTCACTTCTACGGTTTGAAATTCTATGTATATATGGTTGACACTTGTCGCTCAAGGCATTCCTCGTCAGTTCAGTTGTCAATAGGGCTGTAAATGAGCCGAGCCGAGCTCGAGTCCTTAACGAGCCGAGCTTAGCTTGTTGGAGCCTGAAATCGAGCTCGAGCGAGCCGATCTTGAGCTTTAATGAGCCGAACTAAAAAAAATTATATAAAAATTCTATTTTCGAGCCTTATCGAGTAAAACCGAGTTCGGCTCGTTAGTCAAACGAGCTTTAAATGAGCTCGAGCTCGACTCGTCGAGGCCTCAAACTCGAGCCAAACTTTCTGAGTTGGAGCCGAGGCAGACTCGTTTAATGTAATAGCACTCGACTTGTCAATATGATCTACATGAATTTGATCTTATTTAATCCTACTCGTAACGGCACTACCGCCACCTAATTTTTTACCAAAACATCGACACATAATGTCAGTAATTTTATACAGTAAAAAATCCAATGAAGTAAAAAATCTGATGAAGGCACTGCTTAGAATTGAATTAGCCAATCTACAGCTGACCCGAACCCAAAAACCCTAACCTGTCCGCCAACACACCCACATCTTCTTCTTCTTCTCCCTCATCCCGCCAAACGCCGCCGGCAATCTCCCCGCTCAACAGCTCCTCCCAAAAACCCTCATCAAGATCCCTATAGTAATTCCCACTCTCGATCTCCTCCTGCCCCCTTTTCCGGCCGAGTCCCTGCATCTCCAGAGCCAGCGCCTCCAGCTCCGACACCTCCCCAAATTCCACCTTCTCCGCCTTCACCGAACACTCGATCTGCCGCTGCCGCTGCCGCCTCTTCCGTCCCTCCTCCGCCGCTGCCGCCTCCTCGATCTCCCTCCGCCGCCTCCTCTCCTTCTGCCGGACCAATTGCCTGATGAAATCGGGGTTCCGCATCGCCCGAGCCAGGAATCCCATCATATGCTGCTGCCGCCGCTCGGTGCTCTGCAGCCGAAGCTCCATCTGGTGCAGGTACGCTCGCGTGATCTGCTGCTGCTGCCGGAGCTTGACGAGCTCTGTTAGTAAAACTTGCCTATCGCGCCTCAGGGTATCGGCCTCCGCGTCAGATCCGAACCGCCCGAGCTCAACGCACGGGACGGTGGGCTGGCGCTGGGACGGAGGAGGGGGAGGCGACGCCGGAGAAGCAGGTGCGGGTGCTGGTGGTGTTGATTTTCTCCGCCTTATGTTTTTGAGAAATTGCTTTTGGCCTTTGAGGAAGGACTCGTTTGCGAATTCCCATTTGTCCGGGTCGATTTTTCTGAAGCCCTGCAAAATGCCTTTTTGGTGAGGGCCTCTGTTGGAATTTTTGATCACTGTGTATCTTCGAGAAGAACCTTCGAGAAAGAGGGGGAGAGACTGTGTGTAAAAGGACTAACAGTACAAATTCAGAGAGTACGAGGAATTTTAAGGTAATTATGAAACTACCCTGGTTTTGGTTAAATTGCATTTCAGTAGATACCATCCAATCATGTCGTTGAAATTACTAATAATACACTGATTACATTCTTCAGAGCATGCACTTATATCAAATATCAGTAAAAGCTTTTAGGTCTAGTATTGTGATTATTAAACCACAGGGTCTTTACAATTATCCCTAGATTACTTGGAAAATTTCATTACTTTAAGGATCTTGAAGGAAAACTCCGTAAGCATATAGGAAATAATTCCCACAAGTCAAAACTGACGACCCTTCACACAGACCAAGTAAATTTACAGAATCAACAAATGAAAAAAATTACATTTTCATTACTCCTCTCCTCAGCATATAGGGTCTGTTAATGTTGATTTTGAGTTTATGGTATGAAAAACAATAATCATGGAGGCTGAAAAAAACACAAAAAACGTAAGACAAAACATACATAAGTGTTTAGCTGCCGGACAAAGCTCGAGAAATTATTGTGCTTAAAGTATATAGGCAAAAACAGTTACATTTTTATAAGAAAGAAGTCCAACAAGTCAAAACTGAGGAGCCTTCACACAGACCAAGTAAATTTAAAGAACCAACATAGGAAAAAACTTACATTTTTATCTATATAACTTACTCTTTTTCCAGAAATAGGTCTGTTTATGTTGATATTGAGTTTATGGTTGGAAAAATAATAATCATGGAGGCTGAAAAAAACACAAAAAACGTAAGNAGATAGACAAAACACTTACATAAGTGTTTAGCTGCCGGACAAAGCTCGAGAAATTATTGTGCTTAAAGTATCTTGGCAAAACACTTGTTGAAAAACCATGAGGATCCCAGACAACAAAGCTATGTCCTCCCCTGTTCCACGAGATGACGCTATCCGTGCTAAAATCGTCCACCATTTCGAAAGTCTTAGTCAAGAATGGAGGTGGGCCCGTCTCGTTCAGCCCCTCCATCGGCCTCGGTGCTTGGTGGTCGATCGGCTGTGGCTGCCATGTGCTCGGATATGACGATGAAGATGATGACGGGTATTCTTCTTTAACCGGAATCCTTGTCCCCATTATCTAACTTTATATGTGTCAAGATTGCTTTCTTAAAGTGATGAAAATTGGAAAAGGGGGCTATTGAATTTCTTGAGTGGGTGGAAAATAGAAGTTCAAGAAAAGCAGAGGAGTGTGGAGTTTTTGCAGGTTGCATGAATTATTATTATTATTCTTTTTTGGGAAATGAAGATTTTTTTTAAGGTAAAGGGTGTTAGAAAAAAATGAGGGATTGGGCTATTTTTAGAAGTTCTTGTGCGATTTTATTTCTGGTTTGGGAAAGTAGTTTTTTGCAGTTGGGGAATGTGAACAGAGTGGGAAAGTTGGGATCCAAACGGTGCTTTATAGGGGCAAATTGGTATTTAATTTATTCTGGTTTTGTTCTGGGTGAGGGAAGATATTTATCATGGAAAGTTCTGGAGTTCTAGAAACTTGGGTGGTGCCACCTTCTAATTTTTAATATTTTATTTTGCTTTTTTTTAGTAATATTTTTTGTAGTTACTGTTGTTTCCTTTGGGATATGGTTTTGAAGGTGGGTGGTGATTGGCATGGAAGGTTCTGGACCAAGAAGCAGAAGAATACAAGAATATTTTTGCATAAAAAAAAAAAAAGATTATTGTGCATCAGGTTTGAGTTACTGGTAAATTACAATTTATAAATAAAAAATATTAATGTCGTATCGATTTATATTTTGTAAAGCATATATTTTCTTTAAAATATGTATACTTTTAAAAATAGTAAGAAATAACTTTTGATTGATGTGTTCAAGAATTTTTGGAGTTAGCAGTCTTGACTTATGTAGTGGTGTGAGCTTGTGATTGGTTACTTTTTGTAGCTTCCAGGTTATCTTGACATGTGTAGTGCGAGCTTGTGATTGTTTCATTTTTTGTAGCTTCAGTTATCTTGACATGTGTAGCCGTGTGAGCTTGTGATTGGTTCATTTGGTAGCTTCAGTTATTATCGGTTGGCATGCACAAATTGAAAAAAGTTTTTGTAAAAGTAGAGATGTGTGAGGAGATATTTTTAGCATTAGAATGAAAAAATGAAGGAAAAAAAAAATTAAAACAATAAAACTTAAAACTGAGTAAGGAGTAATGTTTTTGTAAAAGTAGGTGTCCTATTCAATTAGGATTCCTAAAGACTTTTTAGACTTTATAAATCTATGTGTATTAAATTTAGATTTGTTAAGATTTTTAAAAGTCTTGAGGTATACAAAGTCTTACAAAATTTTGAGCTATTTAACTTATTTGATATTATGACTTATTAAGATTTTTTAAGATTTAGTGGGATTTGTAGACAAAAAATTTTACACGAAATTTCACTTTAAATTCTACCTCCAAACTTAAGATTTCTCATAATTTTTCTAAAATCTTAAAATCTTAAAAAGTCTCAAATCTTAAAAGTCTCAAAATGCCATTTAAAATTTCAATTGAATATACCCCCTTAGAGATGTGTGAGAAGATCTTTTAGCATGAGAAAAAAAATAATAATAATTACAACCGAGTACTGAGGTGGTGATTGGATTTTTTTTTTTGTTGATTTTATTATTCAGAGATAGTTATTTTTTAATAAAGTTGATGGATTGGATATTTGCGTGAGATTTTGTGTTTATAGTTAAACAATATTTAAAATGTAATTATTAAAGTTAATAATATAAAAATTGGTATGATATTGAAAATGGTATGTAGTTAAAATTATCCCTAGTTAATGAATAGTGAGTTAAAATTAATGTAATATGTAATAAATGATTGATTTGTATATTTAATTATATTGATAATATTGATGAGAGTTGAGATTGAATAAATTTGAATTGATTTTTTAGTTGAAAATTTGTAAAAAAACATTATCCGGTAAAAAATAATCGATTATTTATATAACCCATCGCAGCTTGAACAATCAACTCGTGTAAGTGTACGAGATTATTAAATTTATATAAATGTCAATACAAAATAATGAGAAAGCATCAAAATATCAATAGATTGTATAGCAATACGATATTAGATTAGCATGTAATGTACGATCAATACGTGGTTGAAAAATCATGATATTTTTTATATGTAAGAAGATTATAGCATTATACACAACGATATTCTTTACATGTCGGGATATTAGCGTATTATACACTGTGAGTACGTGGTTGAAATATCTCGACATTTGAAACTGATTGACGAATTGATGAAAATGAGGATATGCTTTGGCCAAGTCCTGAATACATTTTAATATTGTGAGTACATGGTTGACATTTTGACATTTTATTGATGAATACATTTTGATGTTGTGTGACAGATTACGACCTTAACACGCCGATGGTAACGAATTTTACTATACATTTTATTGATGAATACACTTTAGTGCAGAATATAATATATATTGCAAATACACTTGAGTTGAGAGCAGAATGTGCCAATGTGTGCAAGATCCAACCCATAGGACCATTATAAAATAATACCAATGATATAAGTTCCATTATAAAATAATCCCACAACAAAAGTTTAATATTAATTAGTACATACTTAGTGAATATGTAGGCTTAATGTTAAGTAAGCATGTCGTGATATTTGTGTTAATTTGATCCAGAAGTTTCTAGTAAACATTAGGCTACTTTCGGTGACGGATCTAGGAATTTCTTTCAGGGGGGTCTGATTTTAAATGTTAACGAACCTGTAATTTAAATTGGAACACTCATTTCATATAAAAATATATTTATTATAAATATAAATATCGAAATGTGCATCATCAAGTTCTTAAAAACTTAGAATCTATATCACCCTCGAACTTTTAAGAAAATAAAAAAGAATATATATATGAAATTTCATGTATTTATAATTTAAGTTTAACAACTATAATTTATGAAAAAATATTTTTTTTTGGTTAAAAAATTGATATAAATTGAACTTTTGTAGCATATTGCATTGCATTTTATTTGACGAAAGCTCATCAAATGAACATTTTTTTAAGAATACAATGAAGTTAAAAATATGTGATTACACCAAAAAAAAAAATAAAAAATCAACATTAAAAAATATAACTATCAAACTAAATATTCGTTTTCATAAATCGCTAAATCTATTTACAATTAAGAGACCAAAAGAGTAAACAATTATAAACATTTTCAAAAATTTATCTAGAAATGTAAAATATAAGGATTGTTAGTACATTTTTCAATAAAATAATGCTATTAATTTAAATTAAAATAGCATGAAAATAAAATTTTAATTATTAATATATTATAAATATTTTTTACATTTCTATACATATTGTATAATTTTTTCTTTATATATATAAATATAGATATTTATAATATATAATACATATATATTTATATATATATAAAAATATTGATTTATCAAAAAAAAAATGAGGGGGGCCCGGGGCCCGCGGGCCCTCCTGGGCCCCTTGTGGCTCTGTCCCTGGCTACTTTGATCTGTTAAAATATCAATCTCCCATTCTCCCTCATTGGGCAACAATGAGTAAATTATCATAATATAATCCTAATATGATAGTTATGTGTAAAATTTAGTATAACAGTGTTTCGAAAATTTTCAAAAAAATATCCCAAACATTTTAGTAGATGAGTAATTTCTACAATATTCTCTGAATACTCATAATATGATAGTTATGGTTTTAATCTATAATTTAATATAATAGAGTATTGGAAATTCTCATAAAAAAAAATACACCAAACGTTTTAGTAAATGAGAAGTTCAACAATTATGTGTTGGTTTCATGGTTGTACCACTTGTATGATAGAAATAAAAAAAACCTATTAATTGCCAAAGAAACTTATTATATTTGTTAATTTTTTTCTGTTTAACCAGTCTAATCATTTATTCATGTATACTTTTTAATCATGTTTTTATGTATACATTTCAAGAATATGCATATTTTAATTAAAAAAAAAATCTATGTTGAAAATTTTAAATACGACATAAATATGAATGTGATATTTAGTAATATAAATATGTATTTTTACCAATGATTTTTTTTTTTTAATGGTATAAATATGTTGTCTTATTAATAACTTTTTACAGGTATTCAATTATCTTTCTGTTAAATTTTGTTGTTTTTAGTTAACTGTTCATACATTTTAAATAAATATTCATTTCAATCAGAATGTATTGACCATCTATAGACTACCGTGGAGTAACACATCCACAATTTTATTTTAACAGGCGGATTTATAAAGAAAGAATTACAAGATTTTTTTCCCCTTAAATACGTCATAATTATTTTTATTATCAATGTTGGAATGTTACTTGTGAGTTGTCCCACATTGATTTGATAGGGTAAATGAGCCTAGTTTATAAGCCTAGTGGGCTACTCCTCCCATCACCAATTGGTTTTGGGATGAAACCTCATTTGTGCTTCATTTGGGTTAACCCTCTTATGGTGCGTTTCACCTGTGTGGGACCGCACTCGTTTTACTCCTGTTTGTCAATCAATCTTATTTTTCCCGTCCATAAGCAAATCACCTCAATCTCTTCGCCTCCCGGCCTCAACTTGTTATGCTCATCTCAATCTCTTCAATCTTATTTTTCCCATCCATAAGCAAATCATCTCAGTCTCTTCGCCTCCCGGCCTCAACTTGTTATGCTCATCTCAGTCTCTTCGCCTCCCGGCCTCAACTTGTTATGCTCCTCCTTCGCGCTCTGCTAGTCTGTCAGCGGAGGGTATGCATCTCGGCGCCATCAAAATCACTGCCAATGTCACCCTCGCTTTGAGATCCTCTCCCTCCTCCCGCTGCCTATACCGCTTGCCGCTTAGAGGTGGTGTTACTGATTTAGAGTTTATCAAATTGTAAATTTCTTTTTGTTGTGGAGGTTTCATTTATTGATCTTAGATTTATGAGTTGCTAGATTTAAGATCTGAAAAATATAAAAGGAAATTCCAGCGGCACCTTCGCATTAAGATAATTGTTGGATTTAATAGTTGGATAAATCACAAACTCTTTTT